AACACAACAAGAGGACAAAAGAAGCAAGGGCGTTGCCCGAGGGCCTGAGAGGTAGGGTGAGCCCTTGCCTTCCTCCTGGCAGGATGTCCAAGGCTCAGGCATGAGGTGGGAAAGACAAGACTCGGCTGTGGGATGGGAGGCTCCACGATGCTTCTCCCGTTACACCCACTATTGACATGTTCTTCTTTGCCACAGAGCCCTGTGAAAAACAAGTCAAGGTGGTTGATTTCAGTCCACATGAATATAAAATGAGCCAGATTATAGTTTGAGCATAATTTTTTTGGATTGTGCATTTGGTAGAAACTTATTGTATGCAATTTGCATTGCTGTGTAGGGGACAGTACTTTCGTACTTTTCAATATAATGAGGCCATGTGATTTTAAAATGTACCTTGTTTCCCTCAAAAGTATATCCTCATAACCAAATTCTTCTAGTCATCTTTAATCTCTAGAACACAGTTTTTGTGTGACACCTAGGTGGCCTTCTACTGTGTGCGATTAAAGGTACAAATCAGTGTTACCAACATTGAGGTTCTAAAAATTCATGGTGAGCTGCACGGTGCGCTCCATGAGAGAGCAGGGCACAGCCTTGGCCTCGGCCTCAAAAGTAACATGATTCAGAGGAGCAGGAAGAAGACATGAAGACATCCATGCCATGGGGAAGCCAAGGTTGAAAGGCTGAGATAGTTCAATGTCATGCCCTGGGTGCAGCCAGGATGTTTGGGCCGCATCTACGGGGAATGAGCAGAGCTTGGACTTCAGGGCTGGTGTGAGCACTGCCCAGCCACTGTTCTATGAGCCTTGAGAAAGGAGCCACTGTTTCATTTGTCTTCTTCACCTTTCTGTGATGATGGAAATAACACAATCAGAAATTAGTGAGAGGCAAAGAACAGAAGGGAGTTCCCAAGATATCTGACTTAGATGAGGGGATATGATGAGCAGGGGTGGACATCAGGGTCGGGTCAGACATAGCACCATCCCCAGGCCTGCTATCCCTGTGACTGGGACAGAGAACAGCATTTACTTTTCCCCAGCTTCTGGAAGTTGCCTGACAGCTGGTCCTTGTGTAGATGCTGTTGGTCAAGGTTTGTTTATCTGAGAATCCCATTTAACCAAAGGAAGCCTCACAGCCCCTGGCCAGGGCAGCTGCTTCACACTAGTTGCAGCAGAGGTGGAAGGGGAGCCAGTTCCAGTGCAGGGTGAGCTCAGGACAGGGAGGGGCTGCCCCAGAGCCCAGGTGTTCCTTGCACATCTCCCTTCTGACCCATAAGACATCACTTTGCCGGTTTTTCTAAGATAGGCTTGGAATCATCAGTCTCACCATCTGTGACCTGCCATTCATGAGTGGGAGGATGCTGGCCCTGGCTGGTCACTGTCAGGGCAGGGGCTCTGTCCTTCTTCTTCCTTCTCATCCCAGAGCTTAGCTCTGGGCAGCCCATCTTGGGGGCCCCAGTGATGTTCTCATGCACACAGCCCTGTACTGAGAAAGCACAAGTGTGAAAAGGCTTCCTGCTCACCCTCTGCAGTCTGCTGAGTCACACACGAATGCAGGTTCCTGTGTGGGTTCTGATTCAGGGTCAGGGAGAAGTGCGTGGGCTCCCCTCCGTGTTTGCTGCTGTTGTCCCATCTGCTCCTGAAGTCTGCAACTAAGGATTAAAATAATAAATATTGTGAATAGCTCACCATCATGGCTTAAAGTCCAATAAAATGGATGTTAACTGCCGTAGGAGCATAGGTTTATTTAGGAAAGTTAAGTGATATAGTAACCTTTTTATAAAGAAGAGGATACTTACCAGGCCTTTTTCTGTGTGGAGACCCTGTCCTGGAGTCATGCCCTGCACTTGTGTGCTGCCTGTGAACACTGCCTATTTCAGTGATGAGGGTGGCTTAGCCAGAGACCAGAGGCTCTGTCCCCCCAGGGCTCTCCTGATGGTGTCCTTTGCCTTCCTTCAAAACAGAGGGTGGCCCAGAGCCAGCTTAGCCCCTGCTTACCCCACCTCCTCCGTACACCAGCCCTGTGTCTTCAGCACCTAGGGCTGTCAGAGGGTCTTCAGCAGCTCCCATGGCTGACAGTGATTCTGTTTTTTAGATTTCAAAAAGGAAGTGGCAGGAATGTTTGGCGTGATGAGCCCAGAAGCTGCCGCAGCTCTTTATTGGGTAAAGTCTTTATTCTTTGTCTGAGATGGGAATTTTATTTCTCTTGGTTTCTTTCCACTTCATTTGAATTATGTCACGCAAATCTCACCATGGAAATTATAGACGAATTGCAGAATTTCTTGGTGGGCAAATGTAAGTAAGAGTCCATTACCAACGAAGAACTGGTTCAAGACGGCACCCACAGATGACAGCTTTAGTGACAAACTGCATGGCAGAGCATTTTCCTCATGGGAAATGCATATTTTTATAAAATCATGGTGACTCTGCAACTAAAATCATTTTGAAAATCTTCATGAAGCTTGTGTACCTTTCCACAAGTGTCCTTTAGGCTTTATTTTCTGGCCATGGCCTCAAGCACTGTTTTTTTTCTGAGTGTTTAATGTAATCATGTAAACAAAAGACCTGTGCACAGAGGACACAGCATGGTCTGTTGCTTACAGTGTTTTCCTTTCTCTCTGCAGAAAAACGCATCTTTAAAAAGTGGTACGTACTCTGGTGTCATCCCTTTGCTAAAAAATTATCATAGTGTTGAGAAACTGACACTTTTCTCCCTGCTGTGGCTGGAGAGCAACCCTAGTGTGACATTCCTGCTGGAAATGAGGTTTGGACAATTTGGTGTAATAAAAATGAAAAGTTTAGTCAACACCTGTGGCCATCCACTCTAGTTCCCAGAAGCAGTGATGTCATTTAAATAGGAACAGGGTGCATCAGGGTGGGGAGGCATGGAGAAGAGAGTCTGTGTGGAGTGATGGGGAATGTCTATGAAAGTGTGTGTGTGAATTTCTCTAGAAAGGGTGTTCCCCTGTTCAAAGCACATTAGAATGAATGTTCTAGAAACAAACGTCCATCCCCACTGGACACATCACATTAGTCAACACTCATACTTTGCCACAGATGTACAGGGAGGGGAGTTGAACATGCTGAGTCCTGACATGGGAGACGGTGGAGAGATAAATTATCCAGGCTGTCAATTTCCTGAATGAAAAAGGCAAAGTGATCTCAGGAATAAGTGGTGAAGAGTGGAAGGACGGGCTGAAACTCTGCATTAATCAGACACACCTCTTGGAAGTTCTTAGCACGCCAGGAAGTTCGAGCATGTTTGTGTGTATATAGAAATAAGATATACCCTTAAAATACGGTTAGTGAATAAGATGTTTTGATCACAAATCAGTTTTCTTTTAGAATAAAAGCTGCTTGGTATTTTGTAAAAAACCTCTAAAAGGGATGATAGTCACAAAAGCACCACAGGTGTGTTCTTAAAAGAAAATAAGCTTGAAAGAACACAGAAATAAGGGGCAAATAAGCTCAGGTCAAATGAGAGGGCAGGAGCCTGAAGAGCCTGCAGGGACACACAGCTTGCCCTGGGTGCTGTGCCCTTTTCAGATGGGCTATTTCACATTGATGAGGTGACCTAAGGCAAGAAAACCTCTCTTCCCTGCTGCTCTTCTGCACCTGCTGAAAGTCACTGTGACCTTTTACTTCCAACAGAAATTAAAGTGGTGGAAGAATACTATGCAAGATTCTTCCCTGAGTAAAAGCCACCACAGAGAAAGGTCAGTCAACATGGGTTGGTTAAAGAAAAGATTTCTCAACTTTATCATTTTGAATTTCAGTAAGGTAGGAGAATCTGACCCTATGTGTCATAGGTGATTTATACAGTGTCTTTGGTGGGGAGAATTCCGAGTGAGAGTCTGTTCCCCACTGAGGCTTGATTTAAGACAGGAGGAGAAAATGGCAGCACCAGCCACGCACTTAGTGACACTGAGCTTCCTCCTCTGCAGCTTGATTCCGTGCTTGGGGCAGAATCACTTCACTGCCAAGTCACAGGACCTTGAGAGGGAATATCCTGCGAGAACGACGTTAGCGTGAGTCAGTTGTCCTGTTCTTCTTCTGTGTTCCTCTGACTTGGACACTCTTTCCCATCTGGTCTTCTAATGTCAACAATGAAGAAAAGACCTGTACACTCAAGCCTCAGGATGGTCTGAAGCTCACGGTGTTTTCCTTTCTGTCCATGCAGGCAGAGGAACCCTCCAAGGAAAAAGGTGTGTATTCTGGGAGCGCTCCTCCGCTCAGGAAAGATCTTGAGTGTGGCAACAGGTGGCACTTACTCTCCTGCTTTTGCTGGGAGGCTGCTTTGGTTTGAGCTTCCTGACAGAAAGGAGATAGGGGCAGTTTGGTTTAAAAAACGCTCAGTCCATCCAGTAAAGAACCATGACCATCCTCTCGCGTCCCTGGAGGCAGAACTGCCATTTAGATGGAATAGGGTGGTGTGCCTCAGGGCGGTGAGGTATGGAGGAGACAGCCCTGTGGAGTGATTGGGAATGTCTTTGGGAGTGTATGCGTGTTTTCCCAGAAAATTCAGAAAAACTGTCTAAAACATTGAATTGCTACTGCACATGTCACCTAAATTCACCCATTCATCCTCCACCACGGCTGTACCTGAAGGTAAATGTCGTATCCTCACTCCTCAGACAGAGATGGTGCAGAGATGGATTTCCCAGGCTCTCAGTCTCCCAAATGGAAGAAGCAAATTTGAACTCCGGAAATGGGAGGAGGGTTGATGCAGTGGGTCACCAGGCGGCCCTGGTAGAACTCGTCGTTATGCCAGGCAGTTCTGGCATCTGTTTGTGCATGTGGAAGGATAAGAGTCCTGAGAGGTCCCAAACACTGTCTGTCATTTTAGGGAAGTCTCAAGGGCTGCCTGACGCAGGGTATCAGTAGATACATGTTATGCTGGACTTTTCTATGTGCATTTATTAATGTGAAACAGAGAAGCGAGCTCACAGGTGGTTGGTGGTAGTGGTGGCATCATTCCTCAGCTCCTGGTCTGAAGCACAGAAATAAATCAGGGACATACTCTATTGTGTTCGATAACCCGATTTTCACAAGCATTCGACATGCTCAGGTGGGCCGGGTGCATGGCTCATGCCTGTAATCCTGGCACCTTGAGAGGTCGAGGCGAGGGGATTGCTTGAGTCCAGGAGTTGGAGATCGGCCTAGGCAACGTGGTGAAAGTTCATATCGACTAAAAGTACAAAAAGTTACCTGGGTGTGGTGGCGCGCATTTTGTGCCAGCTACCTGGATGGCAGAGTGGGGAAGGTCACTTGATCCCTGGAGGTGCAGGTTCCAGTGAACAGTGATCATGTCACACCACTCCAGCTTGGGTAAGAGGCCATCTGCCAATTGAAAAAAAAAAAAGGAATAAGTGGAAAAATGCTTTAGTTTAGTAGTAAACACGGTCAAGACACAGCGCTGACTGTGATCTCAAGGAACCACTTGGGTGTTGGGCTCCCACTCACCTTCCCCGCAGGAACCTGCTGCACGGCTGGGATGGAGAGCTCCGGTCAGTTCCCCCACCTGCTGCTCCCCTGACAGACTGTTCCAGTGTCAGAGCCAGCGTGAGTGTGAGCAGCAATGAACTCTTGACACACGCAGATGTTGCCTTGAGAAGGTCAGTGCAACAACAGATAGCACTTGCTAAATAGGGGCGACCTTTAAAGGAGAGGATAACTAAGTATTTTCAAAGCTTTATTGTCTTCAGTACAACAGACTGGTGAACATAGCGTGTATTTGGCTCGAATGAGATGTCTCAGAAGAAAGGTTGCTTTGTACCAAGTATAACATATTGCAGAATGACTGATGCACGCAGAAGCACCAGAGGTGGATTCTAGGGGGGAAATGAGATTGGAAGGACTCAGGGAGGGCAAGTGAGCTCAAGTCAGATTAGGAGGCAGGAGCCTGAAGAGCCTGCAGGGACACACAGCCTGCCCTGGGTGCTGTGCCCTGTTTGAGATGGGCTATTTCACGTTGATGGGGTGACCTGGGGCTAGAGAACCTCTCTTCCCTGCTCCTCTTCTGCACCTGCTGACTCACTCTGTGTCCTTTTACTTCCCACAGGATACACCGTGCTGGAAGAGTTCTCCTACCAATCCTCAGATGAGGAGGAGCCACCACAGGGGAAGGTCAGTCCACCTGGTTTGGTTGGAGAAAAGATTTCTCAACTTTATCCTTTTGAATTTCAGTACGGTAGGAGAATCTGACCCTATGTGTCATAGGTGATTTATACAGTGTCTTTGGTGGGGAGAATTCCGAGTGAGAGTCTGTTCCCCACTGAGGCTTGATTTAAGACAGGAGGAGAAAATGGCAGCACCAGCCACGCACTTAGTGACAGTGAGCTTCCTCCTCTGCAGCTTGATTCCGTGCTTGGGGCAGAAGCACTTCACTGCCAAGTCACAGGACCTTGAGAGGGAATATCCTGCGAGAACGACATTAGCGTGAGTCAGCTGTCCTGTTCTTCTTCTGTGTTCCTTTGACTTGGACACTCTTTCCCATCTGGTCTTCTAATGTCAACAATGAAGAAAAGACCTGTACACTCAAGCCTCAGGATGGTCTGAAGCTCACGGTGTTTTCCTTTCTGTCCATGCAGGCAGAGGAACCCTCCAAGGAAAAAGGTGTGTATTCTGGGAGCGCTCCTCCGCTCAGGAAAGATCTTGAGTGTGGCAACAGGTGGCACTCACTCTCCTGCTTTTGCTGGGGGGCTGCTTTGGTTTGAGCTTCCTGACAGAAAGGAGATAGGGGCAGTTTGGTTTAAAAAACGCTCAGTCCATCCAGTAAAGAACCATGACCATCCTCTCGCGTCCCTGGAGGCAGAACTGCCATTTAGATGGAATAGGGTGGTGTGCCTCAGGGCGGTGAGGTATGGAGGAGACAGCCCTGTGGAGTGATTGGGAATGTCTTTGGGAGTGTATGCGTGTTTTCCCAGAAAATTCAGAAAAACTGTCTAAAACATTGAATTGCTACTGCACATGTCACCTAAATTCACCCATTCATCCTCCACCACGGCTGTACCTGAAGGTAAATGTCATATCCTCACTCCTCAGACAGAGATGGTGCAGAGATGGATTTCCCAGGCTCTCAGTCTCCCAAATGGAAGAAGCAAATTTGAACTCCGGAAATGGGAGGAGGGTTGATGCAGTGGGTCACCAGGCGGCCCTGGTAGAACTCGTCGTTATGCCAGGCAGTTCTGGCATCTGTTTGTGCATGTGGAAGGATAAGAGTCCTGAGAGGTCCCAAACACTGTCTGTCATTTTAGGGAAGTCTCAAGGGCTGCCTGACGCAGGGTATCAGTAGATACATGTTATGCTGGACTTTTCTATGTGCATTTATTAATGTGAAACACAGAGAAGCGAGCTCACAGGTGGTTGGTGGTAGTGGTGGCATCATTCCTCAGCTCCTGGTCTGAAGCAGAGAAATAAATCAGGGACATACTCTATTGTGTTGGATAACCCGATTTTCACAAGCATTCGACATGCTCAGGTGGGCCGGGTGCATGGCTCATGCCTGTAATCCTGGCACCTTGAGAGGTCGAGGCGAGGGGATTGCTTGAGTCCAGGAGTTGGAGATCGGCCTAGGCAACGTGGTGAAAGTTCATATCGACTAAAAGTACAAAAAGTTACCTGGGTGTGGTGGCGCGCATTTTGTGCCAGCTACCTGGATGGCAGAGTGGGGAAGGTCACTTGATCCCTGGAGGTGCAGGTTCCAGTGAACAGTGATCATGTCACACCACTCCAGCTTGGGTAAGAGGCCATCTGCCAATTGAAAAAAAAAAAAGGAATAAGTGGAAAAATGCTTTAGTTTAGTAGTAAACACGGTCAAGACACAGCGCTGACTGTGATCTCAAGGAACCACTTGGGTGTTGGGCTCCCACTCACCTTCCCCGCAGGAACCTGCTGCACGGCTGGGATGGAGAGCTCCGGTCAGTTCCCCCACCTGCTGCTCCCCTGACAGACTGTTCCAGTGTCAGAGCCAGCGTGAGTGTGAGCAGCAATGAACTCTTGACACACGCAGATGTTGCCTTGAGAAGGTCAGTGCAACAACAGATAGCACTTGCTAAATAGGGGTGACCTTTAAAGGAGAGGATAACTAAGTATTTTCAAAGCTTTATTGTCTTCAGTACAACAGACTGGTGAACATAGCGTGTATTTGGCTCGAATGAGATGTCTCAGAAGAAAGGTTGCTTTGTACCAAGTATAACATATTGCAGAATGACTGATGCACGCAGAAGCACCAGAGGTGGATTCTAGGGGGGAAATGAGATTGGAAGGACTCAGGGAGGGCAAGTGAGCTCAAGTCAGATTAGGAGGCAGGAGCCTGAAGAGCCTGCAGGGACACACAGCCTGCCCTGGGTGCTGTGCCCTGTTTGAGATGGGCTATTTCACGTTGATGGGGTGACCTGGGGCTAGAGAACCTCTCTTCCCTGCTCCTCTTCTGCACCTGCTGACTCACTCTGTGTCCTTTTACTTCCCACAGGATACACCGTGCTGGAAGAGTTCTCCTACCAATCCTCAGATGAGGAGGAGCCACCACAGGGGAAGGTCAGTCCACCTGGTTTGGTTGGAGAAAAGATTTCTCAACTTTATCCTTTTGAATTTCAGTACGGTAGGAGAATCTGACCCTATGTGTCATAGGTGATTTATACAGTGTCTTTGGTGGGGAGAATTCCGAGTGAGAGTCTGTTCCCCACTGAGGCTTGATTTAAGACAGGAGGAGAAAATGGCAGCACCAGCCACGCACTTAGTGACAGTGAGCTTCCTCCTCTGCAGCTTGATTCCGTGCTTGGGGCAGAAGCACTTCACTGCCAAGTCACAGGACCTTGAGAGGGAATATCCTGCGAGAACGACGTTAGCGTGAGTCAGCTGTCCTGTTCTTCTTCTGTGTTCCTTTGACTCGGACACTCTTTCCCATCTGGTCTTCTAATGTCAACAATGAAGAAAAGACCTGTACACTCAAGCCTCAGGATGGTCTGAAGCTCACGGTGTTTTCCTTTCTGTCCATGCAGGCAGAGGAACCCTCCAAGGAAAAAGGTGTGTATTCTGGGAGCGCTCCTCCGCTCAGGAAAGATCTTGAGTGTGGCAACAGGTGGCACTCACTCTCCTGCTTTTGCTGGGGGGCTGCTTTGGTTTGAGCTTCCTGACAGAAAGGAGATAGGGGCAGTTTGGTTTAAAAAACGCTCAGTCCATCCAGTAAAGAACCATGACCATCCTCTCGCGTCCCTGGAGGCAGAACTGCCATTTAGATGGAATAGGGTGGTGTGCCTCAGGGCGGTGAGGTATGGAGGAGACAGCCCTGTGGAGTGATTGGGAATGTCTTTGGGAGTGTATGCGTGTTTTCCCAGAAAATTCAGAAAAACTGTCTAAAACATTGAATTGCTACTGCACATGTCACCTAAATTCACCCATTCATCCTCCACCACGGCTGTACCTGAAGGTAAATGTCATATCCTCACTCCTCAGACAGAGATGGTGCAGAGATGGATTTCCCAGGCTCTCAGTCTCCCAAATGGAAGAAGCAAATCTGAACTCCGGAAATGGGAGGAGGGTTGATGCAGTGGGTCACCAGGCGGCCCTGGTAGAACTCGTCGTTATGCCAGGCAGTTCTGGCATCTGTTTGTGCATGTGGAAGGATAAGAGTCCTGAGAGGTCCCAAACACTGTCTGTCATTTTAGGGAAGTCTCAAGGGCTGCCTGACGCAGGGTATCAGTAGATACATGTTATGCTGGACTTTTCTATGTGCATTTATTAATGTGAAACACAGAGAAGCGAGCTCACAGGTGGTTGGTGGTAGTGGTGGCATCATTCCTCAGCTCCTGGTCTGAAGCAGAGAAATAAATCAGGGACATACTCTATTGTGTTGGATAACCCGATTTTCACAAGCATTCGACATGCTCAGGTGGGCCGGGTGCATGGCTCATGCCTGTAATCCTGGCACCTTGAGAGGTCGAGGCGAGGGGATTGCTTGAGTCCAGGAGTTGGAGATCGGCCTAGGCAACGTGGTGAAAGTTCATATCGACTAAAAGTACAAAAAGTTACCTGGGTGTGGTGGCGCGCATTTTGTGCCAGCTACCTGGATGGCAGAGTGGGGAAGGTCACTTGATCCCTGGAGGTGCAGGTTCCAGTGAACAGTGATCATGTCACACCACTCCAGCTTGGGTAAGAGGCCATCTGCCAATTGAAAAAAAAAAAGGAATAAGTGGAAAAATGCTTTAGTTTAGTAGTAAACACGGTCAAGACACAGCGCTGACTGTGATCTCAAGGAACCACTTGGGTGTTGGGCTCCCACTCACCTTCCCCGCAGGAACCTGCTGCACGGCTGGGATGGAGAGCTCCGGTCAGTTCCCCCACCTGCTGCTCCCCTGACAGACTGTTCCAGTGTCAGAGCCAGCGTGAGTGTGAGCAGCAATGAACTCTTGACACACGCAGATGTTGCCTTGAGAAGGTCAGTGCAACAACAGATAGCACTTGCTAAATAGGGGCGACCTTTAAAGGAGAGGATAACTAAGTATTTTCAAAGCTTTATTGTCTTCAGTACAACAGACTGGTGAACATAGCGTGTATTTGGCTCGAATGAGATGTCTCAGAAGAAAGGTTGCTTTGTACCAAGTATAACATATTGCAGAATGACTGATGCACGCAGAAGCACCAGAGGTGGATTCTAGGGGGGAAATGAGATTGGAAGGACTCAGGGAGGGCAAGTGAGCTCAAGTCAGATTAAGAGGCAGGAGCCTGAAGAGCCTGCAGGGACACACAGCCTGCCCTGGGTGCTGTGCCCTGTTTGAGATGGGCTATTTCACGTTGATGGGGTGACCTGGGGCTAGAGAACCTCTCTTCCCTGCTCCTCTTCTGCACCTGCTGACTCACTCTGTGTCCTTTTACTTCCCACAGGATACACCGTGCTGGAAGAGTTCTCCTACCAATCCTCAGATGAGGAGGAGCCACCACAGGGGAAGGTCAGTCCACCTGGTTTGGTTGGAGAAAAGATTTCTCAACTTTATCCTTTTGAATTTCAGTACGGTAGGAGAATCTGACCCTATGTGTCATAGGTGATTTATACAGTGTCTTTGGTGGGGAGAATTCCGAGTGAGAGTCTGTTCCCCACTGAGGCTTGATTTAAGACAGGAGGAGAAAATGGCAGCACCAGCCACGCACTTAGTGACAGTGAGCTTCCTCCTCTGCAGCTTGATTCCGTGCTTGGGGCAGAATCACTTCACTGCCAAGTCACAGGACCTTGAGAGGGAATATCCTGCGAGAACGACGTTAGCGTGAGTCAGTTGTCCTGTTCTTCTTCTGTGTTCCTCTGACTTGGACACTCTTTCCCATCTGGTCTTCTAATGTCAACAATGAAGAAAAGACCTGTACACTCAAGCCTCAGGATGGTCTGAAGCTCACGGTGTTTTCCTTTCTGTCCATGCAGGCAGAGGAACCCTCCAAGGAAAAAGGTGTGTATTCTGGGAGCGCTCCTCCGCTCAGGAAAGATCTTGAGTGTGGCAACAGGTGGCACTCACTCTCCTGCTTTTGCTGGGGGGCTGCTTTGGTTTGAGCTTCCTGACAGAAAGGAGATAGGGGCAGTTTGGTTTAAAAAACGCTCAGTCCATCCAGTAAAGAACCATGACCATCCTCTCGCGTCCCTGGAGGCAGAACTGCCATTTAGATGGAATAGGGTGGTGTGCCTCAGGGCGGTGAGGTATGGAGGAGACAGCCCTGTGGAGTGATTGGGAATGTCTTTGGGAGTGTATGCGTGTTTTCCCAGAAAATTCAGAAAAACTGTCTAAAACATTGAATTGCTACTGCACATGTCACCTAAATTCACCCATTCATCCTCCACCACGGCTGTACCTGAAGGTAAATGTCATATCCTCACTCCTCAGACAGAGATGGTGCAGAGATGGATTTCCCAGGCTCTCAGTCTCCCAAATGGAAGAAGCAAATCTGAACTCCGGAAATGGGAGGAGGGTTGATGCAGTGGGTCACCAGGCGGCCCTGGTAGAACTCGTCGTTATGCCAGGCAGTTCTGGCATCTGTTTGTGCATGTGGAAGGATAAGAGTCCTGAGAGGTCCCAAACACTGTCTGTCATTTTAGGGAAGTCTCAAGGGCTGCCTGACGCAGGGTATCAGTAGATACATGTTATGCTGGACTTTTCTATGTGCATTTATTAATGTGAAACACAGAGAAGCGAGCTCACAGGTGGTTGGTGGTAGTGGTGGCATCATTCCTCAGCTCCTGGTCTGAAGCAGAGAAATAAATCAGGGACATACTCTATTGTGTTGGATAACCCGATTTTCACAAGCATTCGACATGCTCAGGTGGGCCGGGTGCATGGCTCATGCCTGTAATCCTGGCACCTTGAGAGGTCGAGGCGAGGGGATTGCTTGAGTCCAGGAGTTGGAGATCGGCCTAGGCAACGTGGTGAAAGTTCATATCGACTAAAAGTACAAAAAGTTACCTGGGTGTGGTGGCGCGCATTTTGTGCCAGCTACCTGGATGGCAGAGTGGGGAAGGTCACTTGATCCCTGGAGGTGCAGGTTCCAGTGAACAGTGATCATGTCACACCACTCCAGCTTGGGTAAGAGGCCATCTGCCAATTGAAAAAAAAAAAAGGAATAAGTGGAAAAATGCTTTAGTTTAGTAGTAAACACGGTCAAGACACAGCGCTGACTGTGATCTCAAGGAACCACTTGGGTGTTGGGCTCCCACTCACCTTCCCCGCAGGAACCTGCTGCACGGCTGGGATGGAGAGCTCCGGTCAGTTCCCCCACCTGCTGCTCCCCTGACAGACTGTTCCAGTGTCAGAGCCAGCGTGAGTGTGAGCAGCAATGAACTCTTGACACACGCAGATGTTGCCTTGAGAAGGTCAGTGCAACAACAGATAGCACTTGCTAAATAGGGGCGACCTTTAAAGGAGAGGATAACTAAGTATTTTCAAAGCTTTATTGTCTTCAGTACAACAGACTGGTGAACATAGCGTGTATTTGGCTCGAATGAGATGTCTCAGAAGAAAGGTTGCTTTGTACCAAGTATAACATATTGCAGAATGACTGATGCACGCAGAAGCACCAGAGGTGGATTCTAGGGGGGAAATGAGATTGGAAGGACTCAGGGAGGGCAAGTGAGCTCAAGTCAGATTAGGAGGCAGGAGCCTGAAGAGCCTGCAGGGACACACAGCCTGCCCTGGGTGCTGTGCCCTGTTTGAGATGGGCTATTTCACGTTGATGGGGTGACCTGGGGCTAGAGAACCTCTCTTCCCTGCTCCTCTTCTGCACCTGCTGACTCACTCTGTGTCCTTTTACTTCCCACAGGATACACCGTGCTGGAAGAGTTCTCCTACCAATCCTCAGATGAGGAGGAGCCACCACAGGGGAAGGTCAGTCCACCTGGTTTGGTTGGAGAAAAGATTTCTCAACTTTATCCTTTTGAATTTCAGTACGGTAGGAGAATCTGACCCTATGTGTCATAGGTGATTTATACAGTGTCTTTGGTGGGGAGAATTCCGAGTGAGAGTCTGTTCCCCACTGAGGCTTGATTTAAGACAGGAGGAGAAAATGGCAGCACCAGCCACGCACTTAGTGACAGTGAGCTTCCTCCTCTGCAGCTTGATTCCGTGCTTGGGGCAGAAGCACTTCACTGCCAAGTCACAGGACCTTGAGAGGGAATATCCTGCGAGAACGACGTTAGCGTGAGTCAGCTGTCCTGTTCTTCTTCTGTGTTCCTTTGACTCGGACACTCTTTCCCATCTGGTCTTCTAATGTCAACAATGAAGAAAAGACCTGTACACTCAAGCCTCAGGATGGTCTGAAGCTCACGGTGTTTTCCTTTCTGTCCATGCAGGCAGAGGAACCCTCCAAGGAAAAAGGTGTGTATTCTGGGAGCGCTCCTCCGCTCAGGAAAGATCTTGAGTGTGGCAACAGGTGGCACTCACTCTCCTGCTTTTGCTGGGGGGCTGCTTTGGTTTGAGCTTCCTGACAGAAAGGAGATAGGGGCAGTTTGGTTTAAAAAACGCTCAGTCCATCCAGTAAAGAACCATGACCATCCTCTCGCGTCCCTGGAGGCAGAACTGCCATTTAGATGGAATAGGGTGGTGTGCCTCAGGGCGGTGAGGTATGGAGGAGACAGCCCTGTGGAGTGATTGGGAATGTCTTTGGGAGTGTATGCGTGTTTTCCCAGAAAATTCAGAAAAACTGTCTAAAACATTGAATTGCTACTGCACATGTCACCTAAATTCACCCATTCATCCTCCACCACGGCTGTACCTGAAGGTAAATGTCATATCCTCACTCCTCAGACAGAGATGGTGCAGAGATGGATTTCCCAGGCTCTCAGTCTCCCAAATGGAAGAAGCAAATCTGAACTCCGGAAATGGGAGGAGGGTTGATGCAGTGGGTCACCAGGCGGCCCTGGTAGAACTCGTCGTTATGCCAGGCAGTTCTGGCATCTGTTTGTGCATGTGGAAGGATAAGAGTCCTGAGAGGTCCCAAACACTGTCTGTCATTTTAGGGAAGTCTCAAGGGCTGCCTGACGCAGGGTATCAGTAGATACATGTTATGCTGGACTTTTCTATGTGCATTTATTAATGTGAAACACAGAGAAGCGAGCTCACAGGTGGTTGGTGGTAGTGGTGGCATCATTCCTCAGCTCCTGGTCTGAAGCAGAGAAATAAATCAGGGACATACTCTATTGTGTTGGATAACCCGATTTTCACAAGCATTCGACATGCTCAGGTGGGCCGGGTGCATGGCTCATGCCTGTAATCCTGGCACCTTGAGAGGTCGAGGCGAGGGGATTGCTTGAGTCCAGGAGTTGGAGATCGGCCTAGGCAACGTGGTGAAAGTTCATATCGACTAAAAGTACAAAAAGTTACCTGGGTGTGGTGGCGCGCATTTTGTGCCAGCTACCTGGATGGCAGAGTGGGGAAGGTCACTTGATCCCTGGAGGTGCAGGTTCCAGTGAACAGTGATCATGTCACACCACTCCAGCTTGGGTAAGAGGCCATCTGCCAATTGAAAAAAAAAAAAGGAATAAGTGGAAAAATGCTTTAGTTTAGTAGTAAACACGGTCAAGACACAGCGCTGACTGTGATCTCAAGGAACCACTTGGGTGTTGGGCTCCCACTCACCTTCCCCGCAGGAACCTGCTGCACGGCTGGGATGGAGAGCTCCGGTCAGTTCCCCCACCTGCTGCTCCCCTGACAGACTGTTCCAGTGTCAGAGCCAGCGTGAGTGTGAGCAGCAATGAACTCTTGACACACGCAGATGTTGCCTTGAGAAGGTCAGTGCAACAACAGATAGCACTTGCTAAATAGGGGCGACCTTTAAAGGAGAGGATAACTAAGTATTTTCAAAGCTTTATTGTCTTCAGTACAACAGACTGGTGAACATAGCGTGTATTTGGCTCGAATGAGATGTCTCAGAAGAAAGGTTGCTTTGTACCAAGTATAACATATTGCAGAATGACTGATGCACGCAGAAGCACCAGAGGTGGATTCTAGGGGGGAAATGAGATTGGAAGGACTCAGGGAGGGCAAGTGAGCTCAAGTCAGATTAGGAGGCAGGAGCCTGAAGAGCCTGCAGGGACACACAGCCTGCCCTGGGTGCTGTGCCCTGTTTGAGATGGGCTATTTCACGTTGATGGGGTGACCTGGGGCTAGAGAACCTCTCTTCCCTGCTCCTCTTCTGCACCTGCTGACTCACTCTGTGTCCTTTTACTTCCCACAGGATACACCGTGCTGGAAGAGTTCTCCTACCAATCCTCAGATGAGGAGGAGCCACCACAGGGGAAGGTCAGTCCACCTGGTTTGGTTGGAGAAAAGATTTCTCAACTTTATCCTTTTGAATTTCAGTACGGTAGGAGAATCTGACCCTATGTGTCATAGGTGATTTATACAGTGTCTTTGGTGGGGAGAATTCCGAGTGAGAGTCTGTTCCCCACTGAGGCTTGATTTAAGACAGGAGGAGAAAATGGCAGCACCAGCCACGCACTTAGTGACAGTGAGCTTCCTCCTCTGCAGCTTGATTCCGTGCTTGGGGCAGAATCACTTCACTGCCAAGTCACAGGACCTTGAGAGGGAATATCCTGCGAGAACGACGTTAGCGTGAGTCAGTTGTCCTGTTCTTCTTCTGTGTTCCTCTGACTTGGACACTCTTTCCCATCTGGTCTTCTAATGTCAACAATGAAGAAAAGACCTGTACACTCAAGCCTCAGGATGGTCTGAAGCTCACGGTGTTTTCCTTTCTGTCCATGCAGGCAGAGGAACCCTCCAAGGAAAAAGGTGTGTATTCTGGGAGCGCTCCTCCGCTCAGGAAAGATCTTGAGTGTGGCAACAGGTGGCACTCACTCTCCTGCTTTTGCTGGGGGGCTGCTTTGGTTTGAGCTTCCTGACAGAAAGGAGATAGGGGCAGTTTGGTTTAAAAAACGCTCAGTCCATCCAGTAAAGAACCATGACCATCCTCTCGCGTCCCTGGAGGCAGAACTGCCATTTAGATGGAATAGGGTGGTGTGCCTCAGGGCGGTGAGGTATGGAGGAGACAGCCCTGTGGAGTGATTGGGAATGTCTTTGGGAGTGTATGCGTGTTTTCCCAGAAAATTCAGAAAAACTGTCTAAAACATTGAATTGCTACTGCACATGTCACCTAAATTCACCCATTCATCCTCCACCACGGCTGTACCTGAAGGTAAATGTCATATCCTCACTCCTCAGACAGAGATGGTGCAGAGATGGATTTCCCAGGCTCTCAGTCTCCCAAATGGAAGAAGCAAATCTGAACTCCGGAAATGGGAGGAGGGTTGATGCAGTGGGTCACCAGGCGGCCCTGGTAGAACTCGTCGTTATGCCAGGCAGTTCTGGCATCTGTTTGTGCATGTGGAAGGATAAGAGTCCTGAGAGGTCCCAAACACTGTCTGTCATTTTAGGGAAGTCTCAAGGGCTGCCTGACGCAGGGTATCAGTAGATACATGTTATGCTGGACTTTTCTATGTGCATTTATTAATGTGAAACACAGAGAAGCGAGCTCACAGGTGGTTGGTGGTAGTGGTGGCATCATTCCTCAGCTCCTGGTCTGAAGCAGAGAAATAAATCAGGGACATACTCTATTGTGTTGGATAACCCGATTTTCACAAGCATTCGACATGCTCAGGTGGGCCGGGTGCATGGCTCATGCCTGTAATCCTGGCACCTTGAGAGGTCGAGGCGAGGGGATTGCTTGAGTCCAGGAGTTGGAGATCGGCCTAGGCAACGTGGTGAAAGTTCATATCGACTAAAAGTACAAAAAGTTACCTGGGTGTGGTGGCGCGCATTTTGTGCCAGCTACCTGGATGGCAGAGTGGGGAAGGTCACTTGATCCCTGGAGGTGCAGGTTCCAGTGAACAGTGATCATGTCACACCACTCCAGCTTGGGTAAGAGGCCATCTGCCAATTGAAAAAAAAAAAAGGAATAAGTGGAAAAATGCTTTAGTTTAGTAGTAAACACGGTCAAGACACAGCGCTGACTGTGATCTCAAGGAACCACTTGGGTGTTGGGCTCCCACTCACCTTCCCCGCAGGAACCTGCTGCACGGCTGGGATGGAGAGCTCCGGTCAGTTCCCCCACCTGCTGCTCCCCTGACAGACTGTTCCAGTGTCAGAGCCAGCGTGAGTGTGAGCAGCAATGAACTCTTGACACACGCAGATGTTGCCTTGAGAAGGTCAGTGCAACAACAGATAGCACTTGCTAAATAGGGGCGACCTTTAAAGGAGAGGATAACTAAGTATTTTCAAAGCTTTATTGTCTTCAGTACAACAGACTGGTGAACATAGCGTGTATTTGGCTCGAATGAGATGTCTCAGAAGAAAGGTTGCTTTGTACCAAGTATAACATATTGCAGAATGACTGATGCACGCAGAAGCACCAGAGGTGGATTCTAGGGGGGAAATGAGATTGGAAGGACTCAGGGAGGGCAAGTGAGCTCAAGTCAGATTAGGAGGCAGGAGCCTGAAGAGCCTGCAGGGACACACAGCCTGCCCTGGGTGCTGTGCCCTGTTTGAGATGGGCTATTTCACGTTGATGGGGTGACCTGGGGCTAGAGAACCTCTCTTCCCTGCTCCTCTTCTGCACCTGCTGACTCACTCTGTGTCCTTTTACTTCCCACAGGATACACCGTGCTGGAAGAGTTCTCCTACCAATCCTCAGATGAGGAGGAGCCACCACAGGGGAAGGTCAGTCCACCTGGTTTGGTTGGAGAAAAGATTTCTCAACTTTATCCTTTTGAATTTCAGTACGGTAGGAGAATCTGACCCTATGTGTCATAGGTGATTTATACAGTGTCTTTGGTGGGGAGAATTCCGAGTGAGAGTCTGTTCCCCACTGAGGCTTGATTTAAGACAGGAGGAGAAAATGGCAGCACCAGCCACGCACTTAGTGACAGTGAGCTTCCTCCTCTGCAGCTTGATTCCGTGCTTGGGGCAGAAGCACTTCACTGCCAAGTCACAGGACCTTGAGAGGGAATATCCTGCGAGAACGACGTTAGCGTGAGTCAGCTGTCCTGTTCTTCTTCTGTGTTCCTTTGACTTGGACACTCTTTCCCATCTGGTCTTCTAATGTCAACAATGAAGAAAAGACCTGTACACTCAAGCCTCAGGATGGTCTGAAGCTCACGGTGTTTTCCTTTCTGTCCATGCAGGCAGAGGAACCCTCCAAGGAAAAAGGTGTGTATTCTGGGAGCGCTCCTCCGCTCAGGAAAGATCTTGAGTGTGGCAACAGGTGGCACTCACTCTCCTGCTTTTGCTGGGGGGCTGCTTTGGTTTGAGCTTCCTGACAGAAAGGAGATAGGGGCAGTTTGGTTTAAAAAACGCTCAGTCCATCCAGTAAAGAACCATGACCATCCTCTCGCGTCCCTGGAGGCAGAACTGCCATTTAGATGGAATAGGGTGGTGTGCCTCAGGGCGGTGAGGTATGGAGGAGACAGCCCTGTGGAGTGATTGGGAATGTCTTTGGGAGTGTATGCGTGTTTTCCCAGAAAATTCAGAAAAACTGTCTAAAACATTGAATTGCTACTGCACATGTCACCTAAATTCACCCATTCATCCTCCACCACGGCTGTACCTGAAGGTAAATGTCATATCCTCACTCCTCAGACAGAGATGGTGCAGAGATGGATTTCCCAGGCTCTCAGTCTCCCAAATGGAAGAAGCAAATCTGAACTCCGGAAATGGGAGGAGGGTTGATGCAGTGGGTCACCAGGCGGCCCTGGTAGAACTCGTCGTTATGCCAGGCAGTTCTGGCATCTGTTTGTGCATGTGGAAGGATAAGAGTCCTGAGAGGTCCCAAACACTGTCTGTCATTTTAGGGAAGTCTCAAGGGCTGCCTGACGCAGGGTATCAGTAGATACATGTTATGCTGGACTTTTCTATGTGCATTTATTAATGTGAAACACAGAGAAGCGAGCTCACAGGTGGTTGGTGGTAGTGGTGGCATCATTCCTCAGCTCCTGGTCTGAAGCAGAGAAATAAATCAGGGACATACTCTATTGTGTTGGATAACCCGATTTTCACAAGCATTCGACATGCTCAGGTGGGCCGGGTGCATGGCTCATGCCTGTAATCCTGGCACCTTGAGAGGTCGAGGCGAGGGGATTGCTTGAGTCCAGGAGTTGGAGATCGGCCTAGGCAACGTGGTGAAAGTTCATATCGACTAAAAGTACAAAAAGTTACCTGGGTGTGGTGGCGCGCATTTTGTGCCAGCTACCTGGATGGCAGAGTGGGGAAGGTCACTTGATCCCTGGAGGTGCAGGTTCCAGTGAACAGTGATCATGTCACACCACTCCAGCTTGGGTAAGAGGCCATCTGCCAATTGAAAAAAAAAAAAGGAATAAGTGGAAAAATGCTTTAGTTTAGTAGTAAACACGGTCAAGACACAGCGCTGACTGTGATCTCAAGGAACCACTTGGGTGTTGGGCTCCCACTCACCTTCCCCGCAGGAACCTGCTGCACGGCTGGGATGGAGAGCTCCGGTCAGTTCCCCCACCTGCTGCTCCCCTGACAGACTGTTCCAGTGTCAGAGCCAGCGTGAGTGTGAGCAGCAATGAACTCTTGACACACGCAGATGTTGCCTTGAGAAGGTCAGTGCAACAACAGATAGCACTTGCTAAATAGGGGCGACCTTTAAAGGAGAGGATAACTAAGTATTTTCAAAGCTTTATTGTCTTCAGTACAACAGACTGGTGAACATAGCGTGTATTTGGCTCGAATGAGATGTCTCAGAAGAAAGGTTGCTTTGTACCAAGTATAACATATTGCAGAATGACTGATGCACGCAGAAGCACCAGAGGTGGATTCTAGGGGGGAAATGAGATTGGAAGGACTCAGGGAGGGCAAGTGAGCTCAAGTCAGATTAGGAGGCAGGAGCCTGAAGAGCCTGCAGGGACACACAGCCTGCCCTGGGTGCTGTGCCCTGTTTGAGATGGGCTATTTCACGTTGATGGGGTGACCTGGGGCTAGAGAACCTCTCTTCCCTGCTCCTCTTCTGCACCTGCTGACTCACTCTGTGTCCTTTTACTTCCCACAGGATACACCGTGCTGGAAGAGTTCTCCTACCAATCCTCAGATGAGGAGGAGCCACCACAGGGGAAGGTCAGTCCACCTGGTTTGGTTGGAGAAAAGATTTCTCAACTTTATCCTTTTGAATTTCAGTACGGTAGGAGAATCTGACCCTATGTGTCATAGGTGATTTATACAGTGTCTTTGGTGGGGAGAATTCCGAGTGAGAGTCTGTTCCCCACTGAGGCTTGATTTAAGACAGGAGGAGAAAATGGCAGCACCAGCCACGCACTTAGTGACAGTGAGCTTCCTCCTCTGCAGCTTGATTCCGTGCTTGGGGCAGAAGCACTTCACTGCCAAGTCACAGGACCTTGAGAGGGAATATCCTGCGAGAACGACGTTAGCGTGAGTCAGCTGTCCTGTTCTTCTTCTGTGTTCCTTTGACTTGGACACTCTTTCCCATCTGGTCTTCTAATGTCAACAATGAAGAAAAGACCTGTACACTCAAGCCTCAGGATGGTCTGAAGCTCACGGTGTTTTCCTTTCTGTCCATGCAGGCAGAGGAACCCTCCAAGGAAAAAGGTGTGTATTCTGGGAGCGCTCCTCCGCTCAGGAAAGATCTTGAGTGTGGCAACAGGTGGCACTCACTCTCCTGCTTTTGCTGGGGGGCTGCTTTGGTTTGAGCTTCCTGACAGAAAGGAGATAGGGGCAGTTTGGTTTAAAAAACGCTCAGTCCATCCAGTAAAGAACCATGACCATCCTCTCGCGTCCCTGGAGGCAGAACTGCCATTTAGATGGAATAGGGTGGTGTGCCTCAGGGCGGTGAGGTATGGAGGAGACAGCCCTGTGGAGTGATTGGGAATGTCTTTGGGAGTGTATGCGTGTTTTCCCAGAAAATTCAGAAAAACTGTCTAAAACATTGAATTGCTACTGCACATGTCACCTAAATTCACCCATTCATCCTCCACCACGGCTGTACCTGAAGGTAAATGTCATATCCTCACTCCTCAGACAGAGATGGTGCAGAGATGGATTTCCCAGGCTCTCAGTCTCCCAAATGGAAGAAGCAAATCTGAACTCCGGAAATGGGAGGAGGGTTGATGCAGTGGGTCACCAGGCGGCCCTGGTAGAACTCGTCGTTATGCCAGGCAGTTCTGGCATCTGTTTGTGCATGTGGAAGGATAAGAGTCCTGAGAGGTCCCAAACACTGTCTGTCATTTTAGGGAAGTCTCAAGGGCTGCCTGACGCAGGGTATCAGTAGATACATGTTATGCTGGACTTTTCTATGTGCATTTATTAATGTGAAACACAGAGAAGCGAGCTCACAGGTGGTTGGTGGTAGTGGTGGCATCATTCCTCAGCTCCTGGTCTGAAGCAGAGAAATAAATCAGGGACATACTCTATTGTGTTGGATAACCCGATTTTCACAAGCATTCGACATGCTCAGGTGGGCCGGGTGCATGGCTCATGCCTGTAATCCTGGCACCTTGAGAGGTCGAGGCGAGGGGATTGCTTGAGTCCAGGAGTTGGAGATCGGCCTAGGCAACGTGGTGAAAGTTCATATCGACTAAAAGTACAAAAAGTTACCTGGGTGTGGTGGCACGCATTTTGTGCCAGCTACCTGGATGGCAGAGTGGGGAAGGTCACTTGATCCCTGGAGGTGCAGGTTCCAGTGAACAGTGATCATGTCACACCACTCCAGCTTGGGTAAGAGGCCATCTGCCAATTAAAAAAAAAAAAGGAATAAGTGGAAAAATGCTTTAGTTTAGTAGTAAACACGGTCAAGACACAGCGCTGACTGTGATCTCAAGGAACCACTTGGGTGTTGGGCTCCCACTCACCTTCCCCGCAGGAACCTGCTGCACGGCTGGGATGGAGAGCTCCGGTCAGTTCCCCCACCTGCTGCTCCCCTGACAGACTGTTCCAGTGTCAGAGCCAGCGTGAGTGTGAGCAGCAATGAACTCTTGACACACGCAGATGTTGCCTTGAGAAGGTCAGTGCAACAACAGATAGCACTTGCTAAATAGGGGCGACCTTTAAAGGAGAGGATAACTAAGTATTTTCAAAGCTTTATTGTCTTCAGTACAACAGACTGGTGAACATAGCGTGTATTTGGCTCGAATGAGATGTCTCAGAAGAAAGGTTGCTTTGTACCAAGTATAACATATTGCAGAATGACTGATGCACGCAGAAGCACCAGAGGTGGATTCTAGGGGGGAAATGAGATTGGAAGGACTCAGGGAGGGCAAGTGAGCTCAAGTCAGATTAGGAGGCAGGAGCCTGAAGAGCCTGCAGGGACACACAGCCTGCCCTGGGTGCTGTGCCCTGTTTGAGATGGGCTATTTCACGTTGATGGGGTGACCTGGGGCTAGAGAACCTCTCTTCCCTGCTCCTCTTCTGCACCTGCTGACTCACTCTGTGTCCTTTTACTTCCCACAGGATACACCGTGCTGGAAGAGTTCTCCTACCAATCCTCAGATGAGGAGGAGCCACCACAGGGGAAGGTCAGTCCACCTGGTTTGGTTGGAGAAAAGATTTCTCAACTTTATCCTTTTGAATTTCAGTACGGTAGGAGAATCTGACCCTATGTGTCATAGGTGATTTATACAGTGTCTTTGGTGGGGAGAATTCCGAGTGAGAGTCTGTTCCCCACTGAGGCTTGATTTAAGACAGGAGGAGAAAATGGCAGCACCAGCCACGCACTTAGTGACAGTGAGCTTCCTCCTCTGCAGCTTGATTCCGTGCTTGGGGCAGAAGCACTTCACTGCCAAGTCACAGGACCTTGAGAGGGAATATCCTGCGAGAACGACGTTAGCGTCAGTTGTCCTGTTCTTCTTCTGTGTTCCTCTGACTTGGACACTCTTTCCCATCTGGTCTTCTAATGTCAACAATGAAGAAAAGACCTGTACACTCAAGCCTCAGGATGGTCTGAAGCTCACGGTGTTTTCCTTTCTGTCCATGCAGGCAGAGGAACCCTCCAAGGAAAAAGGTGTGTATTCTGGGAGCGCTCCTCCGCTCAGGAAAGATCTTGAGTGTGGCAACAGGTGGCACTCACTCTCCTGCTTTTGCTGGGGGGCTGCTTTGGTTTGAGCTTCCTGACAGAAAGGAGATAGGGGCAGTTTGGTTTAAAAAACGCTCAGTCCATCCAGTAAAGAACCATGACCATCCTCTCGCGTCCCTGGAGGCAGAACTGCCATTTAGATGGAATAGGGTGGTGTGCCTCAGGGCGGTGAGGTATGGAGGAGACAGCCCTGTGGAGTGATTGGGAATGTCTTTGGGAGTGTATGCGTGTTTTCCCAGAAAATTCAGAAAAACTGTCTAAAACATTGAATTGCTACTGCACATGTCACCTAAATTCACCCATTCATCCTCCACCACGGCTGTACCTGAAGGTAAATGTCATATCCTCACTCCTCAGACAGAGATGGTGCAGAGATGGATTTCCCAGGCTCTCAGTCTCCCAAATGGAAGAAGCAAATCTGAACTCCGGAAATGGGAGGAGGGTTGATGCAGTGGGTCACCAGGCGGCCCTGGTAGAACTCGTCGTTATGCCAGGCAGTTCTGGCATCTGTTTGTGCATGTGGAAGGATAAGAGTCCTGAGAGGTCCCAAACACTGTCTGTCATTTTAGGGAAGTCTCAAGGGCTGCCTGACGCAGGGTATCAGTAGATACATGTTATGCTGGACTTTTCTATGTGCATTTATTAATGTGAAACACAGAGAAGCGAGCTCACAGGTGGTTGGTGGTAGTGGTAGGCATCATTCCTCAGCTCCTGGTCTGAAGCAGAGAAATAAATCAGGGACATACTCTATTGTGTTGGATAACCCGATTTTCACAAGCATTCGACATGCTCAGGTATAAAGGTGTGGTTTTTTCTTTCTGCATGTTAATGAGAAATTGAAGGAGCTTTGTTTCCATGGGCGTCGTGTGTGCTCTGCTCATACCCATGATTTGTTCCCTGATGAGCAAGATGATCTTTTCCAGGAGGCCAGATCTCTCCTGCCTGTGCCACAGCAAACATGAAAGCCCTGGGTTTTGTGGGGGGAGGGGGCATAGTGTCCTTTTTGAATGGGAACAAGAGATGAGTGTGTGGGTGTGGCATTCAGTAATGTATGGGGAGTGAGGTGGGACACAGCCCCTCACAGGTGCTCTGTGACCCTGGACACAAAGTCCTTCATGCATGTGCCAGGAGCTCACCCTCTCCATCTGCACTCTGGGGACCTGCAGCAGCACCTTCCTGTCCAGCCCTCAGCATCTGCTCCTGGTCACAGGGCACTCCCTGGGTCTCCTGAAGTAGAGAATCCTCCTTTGGGATTACTCAGTGTGCCCCCATCCTAGAGACCCAAGGGGGGATCCCATGGTGGAGCACGACTCTGGCCTCCACTTCTCACCCAGTCCCAAATCGTTGAGCTACGAATGGAAGTTGAATTGGTTTAAAGAATTCAGTGTCCAGCTGTTACCGAGGCCCTCTGTGGCCAGCAGGAATCCTAGGGTGTGTGTGTGGAGTGGCTGTGTGTTGCTGCAGGCTCACACCCTTATAACCTGGTTCCTGGAATCCACTGGGCCCAGGACAGAGCCGCTGGGCAGCTGGCACCGGGGTCACTTGTCTTGTTACACCCTCCGTTCTGGCCTGACATCCTTGTCCTGCACCCCACACTGCAGTCAGGCCCAGCTTGTTTTCTGTGTCAGGCCTGCCAGGTGCCCTCCCGCCCAGTCCTCCCACATCTCAGGTAAAACGGGCAGGGCCCATTCATTCATGTGCTGAGAACCACAGCCTCCCTTGAGGATTAAGGCAGTGGGACATGGGGCTTTGTCTAGAGTCCCGTTACAGTGTTTCTAAGCTTCCAGTAGCTTGTGGGATTCTTGTGAGGGTTGAGTATTTTCCAGGTCCCTAAGGTCATCCCAGGCATACAACAGTCAATCTGTGACATCAGTTGTCACCCCGTCCCACAGGCTCCAACTGAGCCCCAGGTCTGTGGCAGGTGCTGCCCACCTAGGGTGCAACCCATGGGTTTATGGAAGGCCTGGTGGTACAGTCCTGCTCTTCCCTCCTGTGTTTTGTTGGAGAGCAGCGGGATTGGTGATTGACAGGGAGAAAAGACATGGGATTAATCAGAAGAGCAGACAGGCCCTAGAGTAGGAGGGAGGGAATCACATACTGTGCACAACGTCCTGGAGATGGTGGCTGCCTCTTGGAGGAATGGGATGACACGGCCTTGGCCTTCCCTGCCTGGGCAGTTACAGGATGTGAGGGCTGGGAAAGTGTATGGGAAGACAGAGGCTCCTCCCTCACTGTAGGAAGTGATCCAGGCTGCGGAGAAGGATCTGGAGATGAGCACACCGGAGCCTGTGGGGTTGGCTCCGCAGCCTCAGGACAGCAGGGGCCGAGTGCCTCCTCAAGTCTCACTCTCCCCTTTCCTTCCCATGGCCGCCCCATCACCGCTGCTGCTCCCAACATCCTGAAGCTGCTGGAGCAGATATGGAAGAGTCCAAGAGTGCAGACGACCATCAGCACGTAATTGTCTCCTTCCTCTTGTCTCTCACCCTCTGACTCATGAGCTCCTCTAGCTCTGGCCTTCTCCCTCTTTCCCTCTCTTATCATTCTCCTGAGGGACCTGGTCTCATCGTGGCAGTCAATGCTCTGGGCCTTCAGGGCCTGTAAAGTCCCTCTGCAGCCCTCCTGCCCACTGTCTTGGTACTGCCCTGACTCCTGGCCCCAGGCTGCAGCGCTGAATCTTGTTGAGCAATTCCACAGAGTCCAGGCAGGAAGCCCAGCTGGGGTCAGAAGAGCTTGGCCCCACCCTACTGGAGGGGTTCCCAGTGACATCTGGGTCTCCTCTGGGGACCACCCCCCAAAGCTGCACTGGGGACTCTGGACATGCACAGTTGTTTTCTTCCTCTCAGATGCCAACAAGTCCTCTCCTGGCACCTGTGGAAAAAGCAACAGAGACAAAGCCTGAACAGGCAGAAGAAATATGAGTGTGCAGGGGCAGCATGACCAGGGGAAGGCAGACATTGCCTGTGTCCCCACGTCTGCCCCACTCTCCTGCTATCCCATCAGGACACCCGGTTAGTTCAAGGAGGATGAGGATGCTGAAGAGCCTCACCTGACCTGTTGTGACCTTTCTTTGTTATGCTGGAAATCCCTACAGGCAGGTGAAGGATGCCCAGAAAGCATCCTCCAGGGAACACACCCTCTCCATAGCAGCCCGTGAGCCTGCTGGGCTGAGCCCTCCATGGGCTGCTCTAATGAGGGAGAAGCTGAGGTGCTGGTCTAGCTACCACATGCAGGATTCCAAAGCCACGCACCGTGTTCTTGTCTGCAGTGCCACTGAAGCTCATTTGAGGGGACCCAGCTCTGCCCTCCCAGCCCCTGAAGCCCACAGGGAGCATCACCAGGTCGTCACGAGCAGACATTGGGGCTGACCATGAACCCCCATGTTTCATGCTTCCTGGGAAAGGTGTGAGAGGGAGCGAGGCACCCCCGGGCTTTGCCATGCCAGCAAGCAGCCCACCCAGCCCAGCACTGGACACCCGCGGGCACTCAGTAGGTCCCGGCATCAAGTAGGGGAAAAGCCAGAATCCAGAACCCCTGGGGTGTGCCCAGTCCCAGCAGCTCCTCAGCCTCCATGGAGCCCTGGGGCCTGGGGTGGCCTCCTGGCCCCATTTCTCAACATGAGGTTGGAGGCTTCTGTGTGTAGAGAGCACTGGCTTGGGCATCGATGGTTCTGTATCTGTGTCCGATGCCAACAAAAGAAACCCCTGAAGACAAGTCAGGGCTGTGGTCACTTGGGAGAAGTTAAGGGGCACGATTCAGGGAGCCACTGTTTTAAATGTATTTTACTATTCAAAATTATACACATATGAATGTATGTTTTATACATATATATACATTTATTATACATCACACACACCCTGTTTTTCATTCTTTAAAAAGTAGTGTTTTCTGTAATCCTTTCATGTTGGAATGTATTACATGGGAAATGTGTGTTTTGCTAAAGCATAATGATTTCCTGAATGAAAATGCACAGACAGGGTTGGTGGGGTGTTGGAAGGACCAAGTATTCTTAGGCCGTAATGATGACGTGCTCCAGGAAGCTGCACACATTTAACGTGCAGTTCTTCCATCTGGATGGCATGGAGGGTCCAGGGGGAGGGCAGGTCCCCACCCCGCCCTGTGTCATCAGACCTCCTGCTCCTCTCAGGGCCCGAGGGCATAGGACTCTGCCTGTGAATCCTTGAGCCTCCCCCTCCTTCTGCATCTGTTTCAGTATCAGGGGTCCAGCTCCCTGAAGTTGCCTGTGTGCGTGCCTGGGCTCAGTGCCTCCTGCAGGACATTTAGAGACACTCTCTGTGCACACGTAACCCCCTCAGCCAGGCCTCAGACCCCTGTGGACAGACTCTGGGGAAACCTGGGGCCCAAGGTTACCTTCCAGGGCCTGAGGAGCCCTCTGAGACCTGCACACCAACCCCAGGGAGCCCCTTCTCCCTCCGCCTCTGTGCCCTGCAGTGACCCTCACACCTCTGTCTGTGTTGCAGATTTGTCGAACATCTGGAAGGGCCAAGACACAAGACCTCACCCTGGCCCAGCGACCATCTGGATCGGGAGAGTTTTGGGGATTGTGCTACACTCTGGACTTTTATATTCTCTCATTTAATTTTTTAAAAAATATTCTTACTTGATTCAAGATGGCACGGTAAGAACAACTCAGGATCGCAGCTCTCAGTGAACGCGCAGAGGATGAGTCAAAGCCGCATTTCCAGATGGATCTTTGTTGCCCACAGAACAAGGAAATTCCCAGCTGTAGGAGAGACACGGGATGCAAGCACAGCCGTTTTGGCTGTTGCGGCTGCTTCAGCCAGCGCCCCAGTGCAGCAGCACTCCGCAACACTCTGCACAAAACACACTGGTCCGGGTGCCCTGCTAAACCAGCAATCTGAGATTTGGGAGGGCAGATTAGCATATCCAACTGATTAAACGGGACTTGGACAGTGAGCCAGACCAGGAGATTCCTGGGAAGTGGCGTCTGAGCCAGCGCAGTGGCTCGCTGCACGGGAAATCACACAGATCCCAGTGCCCTAACAGCGGGCGACCGAAACACCTGGGAGAGAGCCATCCGTTCAACTTAAAAAAAAAAAGAAAGTCGCTCTGAGGCAGGGAGCCAGGCGAGCAGGCTCGGTGGGTTTCACCCCCACAGGGACAAAAAAAAAACGGCAATTCAAGACACTCCAGGTGGAGAGTTTCACTGCGGGCACATCTGAACCCAGGATGGTGCAGCTCAGTGGGGGAGGGGCATCCGCCATTACCGAGGCAATCCGTCCCTACTGAGGTACACTCCCATTGCTGACACAGCCTGCTGTTGCCGAGGCAACCCGACATAACAGATAGACTCCTCCGCAGGGCGGAGCCCGTGGCAGCAGGGCAGAGCCTGCAGCAACAGGATGGACCCCACATCACCAGGGCGGAGCCTCGGCAGGCAAATAATGACTAGACTGCCTCCTAGCTGGGCAGGATAGTGCAACGGACACTCATAAAGAAAGCCCCAACTCCCCGAGACAGAGCAAAAAAAAAGGGTTTTAAGAGTTCTGCTGCAGCAGACATAAACGTAGCAGCCTAACAGCCCTGAATGAACAATGGAGCTCACAGCTCAACACTTGGGCTCCTATAAAGTACAGACCGTCTCCTCAAGCAGCTCCCTGACCCCTGTATATCCAGAGTCAACTCAAAAAGGACTGATCAGACTGACATTAGGCGGGCATCATTCTGGGACAAAGATAGCAGAAGAAGAAACTGGTAGCATCCCTCACTGTTCTGCAGCTGCTACAGGTGTACCCCAGACAAGCAGGGCCTGGAGTGGACCTCAGCAGTCATACAGCGGAGGGGCTAGACTGGTAGAAGGAAAACCAAGTAACAGAAATACCTCATCATCAACAATCTGGGCATCCACTCAGAGACCCAATCAAAAAGTCAGCAACTACTCAGACGACAGGTGGACAAATCCACAAAGATGGGAAGAAACCAGCACAAAAAAAAAGGGAAACACCCGAAACCAGAACACCTCACCTCCTACAAAGGACCAAAACTCCTCACCAGCAAGGGAACAAAGCTGGACGAGAATGACTGTGATGAAATGACGGAATTAGACTTCAGAAGGTGGGTAATGAGAAACTTCTGTGAGCTAAAAGAACATGTTCTAAATCAATGCAAAGAAACTAAGAACCTTGAAAAAAGATTCGAAAAAAGATTCGAGGAAATGATAACAGAAATGGATAATTTAGAGAGGCATATGAATGAATTGAAGGAGCTGAAAAACACAACACAAGAACTTCACAAAGCATGCACAAGTTTCAACAGCCGAATTGACCAAGCAGAAGAAAGAATATCAGAAGTCAAAGATCAACTCAATGAAATAAAACGAGAAACCAAGATTAGAGAAAAAAAAGCAAAAAGGAATGAACAGTCTCCAAGAAATGTGGGACTATGTGAAGAGACCTAACCTACGTTTGATAGGTGTATCAGAAGGGGACGAAGAGAATGAATTCAAGCTGGAAAATACTCTTTAGGATATTATCCAGAAAAATTTCCCCAACCTAGCAAGGCAGGCCAACACTCAAATCCAGGAAATACAGAGAACACCACAAAGATACTCCGCAAGAAGAGCAACCCCAAGGCACATAATCATCACATTCACCAGGGTTGAAATGAAGGAGAAAATACTAAGGGCAGCCAGAGAGAAACGTCGGGTCACCCACAAAGGGAAGCCCATCAGACTCACAGCAGATCTCTCGGCAGAAACTCTACAAGCAAGAAGAGAGTGGGGGCCAATATTCAACATCCTTAAAGAAAAGAACTTTCAACCCAGAATTACATATCCAGCCAAACTGAGCTTCATAAGTGAAGGAAAAATAAAATCCTTTGCGAACAAGCAAGTACTCAGAGATTTTGTCACCACCAGGCCTGCTTTACAAGAGCTCCTGAAAGAGGCACTACACACAGAAAGGAACAACCAGTACCAGCCATTCCAAAAACACACTAAATGCTAAAGAGCATCAACAAAATGAAGAATCTTCATCAACTAACGGGCAAAACAGCCAGCCAGCATCAAAATGGCAGTATCAAATTCACACATAACAATATTAACCCTAAATGTAAATGGGCTAAATGCACCAATCAAAAGACACAGACTGGCAAAATGGGTATCTAGGAAACCCATCTCACATGCAAGGATACACAAAGGCTCAAAATAAAGGGATGGAGGAAGATTTACCAAGCAAATGGAGAGCAATTCTCATCTCTGATAAAATAGACTTTAAAGCAACAAAGATCAAAAGAGACAAAGAAGGTCATTACATAATGGTAAAAGGATCGATACAACAAGAAGAGCTAACGATCCTAAATATGTATGCACCCAATACAGGAGCACCCAGATATATACGGCAAGTTCTTAATGACTTACAAAGAGACTTAGACTCCCACACAATAACAGTGGGAGACTTTAACACTCCACTGTCAATATTAGACAGATCAACCAGACAGAAAATTAACAAGGATATCCAGGGCTTGAACTCAGACCTTGAACAAGCAAACCTGATAGACATTTATAGAACTCTCCACCCCAAATCCACAGAATATACATTCTTCTCAGCACTACATCACACCTACTCGAAAATTGGCCACATAATTGGAAGTAAAGCACTCCTCAACAAATGCAAAACAATGGAAATCATAACAAACAGTCTCTCAGACCATAGTGCAATCAAGTTAGAACTCAGAATTCAGAAACTAACCCAGAACCGCACAGCTTCATGGAAACTGAACAAGAGCCACTTCATGGCTCTTGAATGTTGACTGGATAAACAATGAAATGAAGGCAGAAATAAAGAAGTTCTTCGAAACCAACGAGAACGAAGACACAACATACCAGAATCTCTGGGACACATTTAAAGCAGTCTCTAGAGGAAAATATATAGTAATAAGTGCCCATATGAGAAGAGTGGAGAGATCCAAAATTGACACCCTATCATCAAAATTGAAAGAGCTAGAGGAGCAAGATCAAAAAAACTCAAAACCTAGCAGAAGACAAGAAATAACTAAGATCAGAGCTGAACTGATGGAGATACATGAAAAACCCTTCAAAAAATCAGTAAATCCAAGAGCTGATTTTTTGAAAAGATCAACAAAATCGACAGACCACTAGCCAGACTGATAAAAAAGAAAAGAGAGAACAACCAAATAGATGCAATAAAAAACGATAAAGGGGAAATCACCACAGATTCCACAGAAATTCAAACCATCATCAGAGAATATTACAAACAACTCTATGCACATAAACTAGTAAACCTGGAAGAAATGGATAAATTCCTGGACACCTGTGTCCTCCCAAGCCTAAACCAGGAGGAAGCCGAAACTATGAATAGACCAATAACAAGGTCTGAAGTCGAGGCAGCAATTAAGAGCCTACCACACAAAAAAAGTCCAGGTCCAGATGGGTTCACAGCCGAATTCTACCAGACACACAAAGAGGAGCTGGTACCATTCCTTCTGAAACTATTCCAAATAATCCAAAAAGAGGGAATCCTTCCCAAATCATTTTATGAGACCAACATCATCCTGTTACCAAAACCCAGCAGAGACCCAACGAGAAAAGAAAACTTCAGGCCAATATCCATGATGAACATAGATGCAAAAATCTTCAATAAAATACTGGCAAGCTGATTGCAATAGCAAATCAAAAAACTTAACCATCATGATCAAGTAGGATTCATCCCGGGGATGCAAGGCTGGTTCAACATACGCAAGTCTATAAACATAATTCACCACATAAACAGAACCAAAAACAAAAACCACAGGATGATCTCAATTGACACAGAGAAGGCATTTGACAAAATTCAACAGCCCTTTATGCTAAAAACCCTCAATAAACTCGGTATCGGTGGAACGTATCTCAAAGTAATAAAAGCTATTTACGACAAACCAACAGCCGATATCATACTGAATGGGCAAAAACTGGAAGCATTCCCTTTGAAATCCGGCACTAGACAAGGATGCCCTCTTTCACCACTCCTATTCAATATAGTACTGGAAGTTCTAGCCAGAGCAATCAGGCAAGAAAAAGAAATAAAGGGTATTCAAATAGGAAAGGTGGAAGCCAAACTGTCTCTGTTTGCAGACGACATGATAGTATACCTAGAAGACCCCATCGCCTCAGCCCAAAAACTCCTGAAACTGATAATCAACTTCAGCAAAGTCTCAGGATATAAAATCAATGTGCAAAAATCACAAGCATTCCTATACACCAATAACAGACTTAAAGAGAGCCAAATCAAGAACAAACTGCCATTCACAATTGCTACAGAAAGAATAAAATACCTAGGAATACAACTCACAAGGAACATAAGGGACCTCTTCAAGGAGAACTACAAACCACTGCTCAACGAAATTAAGAGAGGACACAAACAGACGGAGAAACATTCCATGTTCATGGTTAGGAAGAATTAATATAGTGTGGCTTGCCCTGTGGCCTGCAGCTGAGCATGTCATCCCCACTTTGGCCCTGATCTACAGTAGGTGGAGGGTCTGTGTCATCAAGCAGATCCTGAGTGGGGGTGTCATCAGCTCATGGCTCTGTCCTCAGGCCCAGCACGGCCAGCACAAGGATGGCACTGGGATTATCCATGAGCTTGGGGCCCCCTCCACGTTGGCAGAGAGCATGGCTCTGCTGTGGCCACCCCAGGCCCAGCTCTTTTTCTCCCTCTCCCTGGGGTGCTTGGGAAGACGGGGGCTGTGTGGCAGGCCTACCAGCTGGACACACACTCTCTGGGCAGCTAAGCCCAGGAGGATGAAGGCAGCCAGGAGCCAGGCTATAGACTGGAGGGAGCTGTCGGGGAGCAAAAGGGCTGCTGCTGGGCTTGGGCTGGGCAGAGGGGGGTCACCTGC